CATCTTTTTAGATCACTGGATGCATGATGGAGCACGAGACAAGGCCTCTCTAATTTGGTCATACACTCCATGGAGGTCAACTAAAAACATGCTGAATCGCTTGCTTTGAAATGCGATGGAGCCCGCACACGTAAGTCTTGGAAGCCAAATATCGTAGATGGCGTGGTCTCTTTTTCCACAAAAGGCAGAAGCAGCTTATCCAACCATTTTTGTGCAAAGGTTGGCATCCATCTTCTTGTACTGCGCAAGGGTCCGGGCAACAGGCAGTTGTTCACATGTTAGCCCAGGACCAAGACAATCTTGCAGCCGGAGTCACAATTTGGGCATTTTGTTGCAGTGCAATTCCCTCAATTGCAATAATTCGCACAAATGATAGCTTCTTTGAAAAAGGGCTCCAAGCCCACATCCCGTACAGTTCAGCGGGGTTTTCTCCAGGGATGTCCTCAAAGCAAATCAACTGGCAAAATACTTGTACACCTTAGCCTTTATTGGCACCAATGGACTTCACATTTGTGGGTCGAGCGCTTTGATGATTTCACTGCAGCGTTCCGATGTCGCTGGCGGACAACACTCAGTTTCTTTGTTGAAGCGTTGTACAGGTTGCCAGGAGATGACTTTGCTTCGGAGAGACTTAAAGTACAATCTTTTAATCAGGTCTGCAAATCCTTGGGTTTGCGATTTGACTTGGACAGAGTCAATGAAGGATACTTCACGTTGGGTCGCACTGACTCGAGAAGACGGAACTGCTTGAACAGATTGAGATTGTGATGGAAGAACATGGCACTTTGGTCAGCGATAGAGAACTTGAAAGGTTGCATAGCCGTCCTGGTTGGTTCAACGCTTTCGTTTTTTGGTCGTACTCTGAAATGCAGCAGTCGGAGTGCTTTCAAAGTCCTCTTGCTGCAAATCGACTATGGTGAGAGTGCAAGGAGCCCTGCGAGATGCTCTCGTAGTCCTCAAGGCGGAGTTGGAAAAAGATGAGCCGACCCTCGTGCATGAAGCAGTCTAAAAGACTTAGACGGCCTTTACAGACGGCGTTCATGAACCGGATAGCAAAGTGAAAGCATCGATTGGCGGTGTCCTGGTCGATGAAAATGGCTTGGTGATCGAGCGTTTCGGACTGGAACTTGGAGATAGTTTGCGAGAGGAGCCTTTGGCCAAATGCCAGCACCCAATCTACGAACTGGAGATTTTCCCATTCCTGGTGGCGCTTAAAACTTGGCGAAGATACTTGAAAAATGCTCGGGTGGTGGTCTAATTGGACGAAGATGCAGCAAAAAGCGCATTGATCCGAGTCGACGGATCAACTGAGTGGTCACAGGTAATGATGGCTGAGTTTGTGAAACTTGTAAAGGGTGACAGTATCCTTCCTTGGTTCTCAAGGGTCCCAGTGCCAGTAACCCGGCAGATGGTGCCTCTCGACTGGTTTTTAACACCTCGTGACTCTTGGGTGTTCACGGTCCTCCATTGCCCTTCCAGCTCGGTTGTCACAGTGGGGTATTTCTTAGGAGCTGCAAGCAAGAGGCAGTCTGGAAAACTGGAAAGGAAATTTTGGTCTGGATTGGAAACACGATACCAATCAAGCTGACCGACCCTTTTTGCCAAACCAGTCGGATAGCGTGTCCGATCCAAAACCTTCCCCTTTTGACATGAGCAATCTTTTGGAAGAAAAAAGTGAGTGCGCCGATTTCGTTCACTCTCAGCTGAAGCCACTATTTTACATGTGTTACAGTGATGTCAATTTTTTCAGTGATGTCTCGTTTCATGTTTTCGGACAACTCGTTGGCGTTTCGACGTATCGCGTGCGCGTGGTTGTATATATCACCTTGTTCCTCGCGTATTGCGTTTACCCTACCGTCCTGTCTCCTCTCCTTTTTACTTCATACTTGGTTACTACTAGAAGCTGGCCACGTCCATTGTGTCCCAAGAATAAGCACGTCCTCTTCGGTACGAAGATGATTGCCTTATTGTAGGGGCTCAATGGTGTTTTGCTTGTTCAGCAAAACAAGTGGAACTGCTGCAAACCTGTTGTATGTAGTTTTAAAAAACTCAGGAGACACTGTGTGCTGTATGCACTTCCTTTGTTGTTGTTCAGAACTGTCTAAACAACAATCAAACAATCTTTAAACTGTACGTTTCCTTTTAGTTGCCGTTGTCTCGGTTCAGTTTTCTGCTCACTGAAATTGTGAATCATTTGTCGTGATGTTCTCCACTAGTCGTTTTACTAGTACCCTCAATTTCAGTGTTACCAATCTTTCAAAGAAAGTTCAAACATGTTGAACTTATCGTTTGAGAACTGTTGCATGAATATATCTCCACGCCTCTCTTTCAAGTGGACCAAAGTTTCCACTTTGTCATCAGGGAAGCCATTTGAACTTTTTGACCCACCCTGATCAGCAAGCTTCACATCCCACCCGGGGTATTTCTTAGGAGCTGCAAGCAAGAGGCAGTCTGGAAAACTGGAAAGGAAATTTTGGTCTGGATTGGAAACACGATACCAATCAAGCTGACCCTACCGTCCTGTCTCCTCTCCTTTTTACTTCATACTTGTTTACTACTAGAAGCTGGCCACGTCCATTGTGTCCCAAGAATAACCATTGAAAAAATGGAACGAATCACAGCTCAAATTCAGTCCATCAGACGGTCGGAGCGTCTGACACTACGTGAGATGCAGTCGTTGGTGGGACGCCTTTTGTGGTTAACCTCAGCGTGGCGACACCTACGCCCACTTCTCATCCCACTGTACAAAGCCCTGCATCGCATCCCCATCACTATGGTGGGCATGGATCACGTGACGTTTCAAACACTGACTGCTCACTTGGATGACCAATTACAGCTGTGCACCTCTTTGACCCACAAGCATCAATCATTGAGAAAAGGCGTTACATTGTGTCGTGTGGCCAACACAAATGTCCTTACATTGAAGCAAGTTCAACTGTTGCATATCAAATCTCGCCGCGTTTGGGTAGGCCTTTCAGATCCTTCTACACCAAACCGAAAACTGGATGATGAAGCGGCCGAAACCCTCAAAATATGGCTACAGTTGCTGACTTCGACGCCATTTTCATTGACGATGTGCCATCCAGATTGGATTCAAGTCAATGCTACGGCTGATGCTATGGCCTCGCAATCCCTGGCAGGGCTAGGTGGTGCAGCCATATTCCCAGATGGGTCTTCAACTTGGTTTCAGTTTCGCATCTCACTTGAAGATGCTCGGTCGCTATGGCTGTGGATAGGTGATGACATGCAAAAGCACATTGCAGCTTGGGAACTTCTTGCGCAATTTGCGTTATCCTTCTGCATTGCCACCCACTTGCCCTGTACTCGTGGTCCTATAGCATGTCATCAAGCCACAGACAATAGCGCAGCCGATGCTGCCACTGCCAAAGGTCTCACTATGACCCCTGCCCTTGCAGCAGTGCTGACTCCATATTTTCAATTTATGCGGCGACATCACATGTATCCTCAAATCACGCACATCCCAGGCCGTTTGAATGTGCTGGCAGACGAGTTGAGTCGCTTCAAGGAACCGCTCCCTGTGGCCGTTGATCCAACGTCGCAGCAATCCATCCCTTGGACTGACTTGCTGCAGTCATCAGGTATTGAGATTACCCAAACAGGTCGAAAGTGGCCTTCTTCTTTTGACATTCATCTGCGTGAAAAAGGTCTGCTGCAGTCCGCTGACTGGGTGCTTCCATCGATTGGTTTTTGGGGAGTTCTCACTCCGGCTGGTCGATGGTCGAGTTATTTGGTGCTTTTGGAACTCCCCACCTCTACTGGTTGACCCCAACATACCCCGGTGTTTGGGTTGTTGATTGGTGTCAGTTTGAAAGGGGATCAGTTTCTAGGTCTAGCTGTACTATCATTGGACCCGCTGGTTCTATTGCATTGCTGTACAGATTGGACCTTTTTTGCACCACGCTTAAAACAGAAAGCACCTGCGCAGCAGCCTTGCCATACATGTTTGGAATGTCATGCACATAATCTGCACTAGGGAAACTGAAGCAACGGAAGCTGTAGTATGAACGTGTCATGTACTTGTACATATGCGTTCTTACTTTGGACCCGAAAAATTCAGTGTCTGATCCGTGGCCATTTTTGCTTCAAGTTTCCCCTGATCTGTTTACCCACCACCATCCCCATGCACCACCATTCTGTGGTCTTGGAGGTGGTGCTTTTGGAACTCCCCACCTCTACTGGTTGACCCCAACATACCCCGGTGTTTGGGTTGTTGATTGGTGTCAGTTTGAAAGGGGATCAGTTTCTAGGTCTAGCTGTGCTAACATTGGACCCGCTGGTTCTATTGCATTGCTGTACAGATTGGACCTTTTTTGCACCACGCTTAAAACAGAAAGCACCTGCGCAGCAGCCTTGCCATACATGTTTGGAATGTCATGCGCATAATCTGCACTAGGGAAACTGAAGCAACGGAAACTGTAGTATGAACTCTCTTGTAAGTTGTAACTGGCCGGTTCCAAAGATGTTTTGACGTTGCACAATGTTTGGCAAGTTGCAAGATATTTGAAACCTTTTACAATATTATCAATGGCTTTAATCTTGCAAAACCGGCAAAGCCGGAGGACTATACTAGAGTTCCTGGTGGCTGAGAAAGTCAGCTGTGAATCGCACCTGGCCGCCACCTGGCCCAGCACACGGAGGAACGATAGATTTCCAATTGCTGTGCTGAGTCTGTGAGATGCACCCCATGCTTCAAAAAGGTTCATGGTTCATGCCCTATGAGGGGATGGTACCTCAAAAACAAGATCCAGTTTGTAGCTGGGACCTCGTGACAACTGCAAGGAAGGAGTGCCAAATTGCAGGATGTTGTATGACGCATAGAGTGACTATTACAAATAGGTTGTGAATGCCATTTTGTTGGTATAACCCACTTGGCCGTTGCTCGAAAACTATGGAGGATATCGGCTGTCAAGATGATGAAACCACGTTGCGCATGACTTCATGACATCAGCCTTGCACTTTGCGAAGACCATTTGCCATCCATGCATACCACGTTATACAGTTTCGATGCAAAATACCCGATTGTAAATACGCGCATGCCGAGCCCCTGGGCAGTCGGCCTAGACAAATGTGATGCTTGTTTGATTGTCGAGAGCATTGAAATGCCACAGCTGGGAATTCCAAGTATGGGCGTTTCCCAAAACTGCGGCCAAATCGATTGGTTTGCCTATAAAAATTATCAATTTTGTATGATTTTGGGGTCCCCCATCAAAAACTTTGTCCAAGGTCCCTGAGAACATGACCTTTGTTGCTCCAAGTGGCCTGCGCCCAGTGCCGCATGCTTGGCCGATTTGGAATTGTGGGGGGCGATTTCTGGGCATTTTTTCGGTGTAAAACATAATATTGAAAATCATCCCGTGGTCTTAACTGATTTCATTCCCTCGATAAAACCTTATTTCGCTCCTGGGTATGTGGGGTCTTAAGAGAGGTCTTGTATGTCTTTTCCGCGGGGCTTTGATTCAGGTCTCCAACTCCGGGCCGGCCAGAGGTGCGTCTTGCCATGTACATATCATGAAGAGGCTACATGGGGTCACCCCTAACATGACCAGGGGAATAGGGGAAAATTGATGAACCATTGAGTTTTGGCCCCAAAATCAGACATGGTGACATGGTTCATTTCACCATTCGCTGTTGGCCTCCTGCTATTCAATCTTTTCTTGCAGAACTCTGTGACCCACGGCGCGCAGCTGGAACCGCAGTGGGCTGAGTTGATTTGTGAGGCGATTCACATCTGTTTTCCTGGTTGTGATGATTCCGCAGGGAAATGCATTTTATTGTTTTTTGGTCCAATTTTGACCATGAACATCCATTTTTGGATCCAAAATTCAACCGTTTCTCAATTAGATCATGATAGATCCCATCCCTCGCTCTCACTCGTTCAGGTCCAGCTCGGTACAGGACTGTTCCTCTAGCAGGGCCCAGAGGGGGTCTGTGTGTTGGGATCACGTTGGCAACGTGAAAGAACAAAACGGGAGTTTTGACCCTGGCAAGCCAAGATCACGAGAACCTTGAAACTTCACGATGGGTTTTGTCCATTTTTGCAGCATCTAAATCCATTGATTAATCATCAAATTCCCCATGAAACATAGCCATTTTCATGACATGAGAGTAGGCCATGTACAGGACCCAACAATGGCCCATTGTTGGGTCCCACATGCTGCTTGATGGTACAGAGCCAGGAAGTGGCGGAGAGAACTGCGAAAGCGCTGTTGCCAACCATTGAGAATCGGCTGGCGAACTTTGAGGTCTGGAATGTTTGAAAAATTCAATAAGAAACTTCCGATTGGGGAAGATTCGTACCATTTCTGGTCAAGTTGGGATGATTTCTTGTTGGGTTTATTGGAAGCATTTGAGGGCATTTGCGCACATAACAAATCAGCTGAACTCTTGTTATTCATAGTATCCCAGCCTGTTATAGGTGAGGAAAGTGGGGTTTTATAGTATTTTATAGCCTTGTTTGTTCCTGTGCAGGCGCTTTTGGAGCAAGGACTGCGGGTTCCGAAACCAACAGCTGAAATCTCTGAGGTGCGCAGAGAATTTGGCTTGGTGTGCTATCAAGATCCAAACTGTGTATTGTTTTGGAGCCTGGGAGCCCTAGATAGCCCTAGATAGCCCTAGATAGCCCTAGATTCCTAGATTTTTGAGAGTTTTCATCAATCAGATATGATGAAAAAAAATGTCAAAGACCATTGACCTAAGTTTTGTTGTGGTGGACTGTGGATAGGCTGCCAAGCTGATTGCTGAGACAGTCTCCACTTTGCAAGATAGGTGGGCAGTGAAGCCGTAGAGCAGTTGAGTGCGTAACGCGCTTCTGAAAGACACACGTGGTTTGGTCTGATCCAAACAGTTCTCCGTTACTGCAGTGGACACCTTCTTTTTTCCTGAAATGTTGCAGTGTGGATCCACATTTCTACCAATCTCATAGAAATCATAGATATCATTGCCCTATCATTAAGATATCATTAATGCAATTAAGAAAGCATATGTATTTTAACGATACAATCAAGATATCATATGTTTGTAAACGATATCATTAAGATATCATATGCATTCTTACCATATCATTAAGAGATCATGTGCCTCTTTACCATATCACTAAGATATCATATGCCTTTTTCACGATATCATTGAGATGTGATACCATGTGCCTTTTACAATATCATTAAGATAATATCCTATGCCTTTAGACGATATCATTAAGATAATATTATGCGCATTTTTTTTAAACGTTATCAATAAGATATCATGAAGAAATCACATACGTATTTATGATATTATTTTGATATCATATGCATTTTTACGATATCAGAAAGATATCACATGTTTTTTGATATCATTAAAATAGCATGTGCATTTTTACGATATCATCAAGATATCACATGTCTTTTTACGATATCATTAAGATATCATATGCATTTTTACGCAGTCATTAAGATATCATATGCCTTTTTACGATGTCATTAAGATAATATCATTGAGATATCATATGACGACTTACGATATCATCAATATATTATATTCCTTTTTACGATATCATTAAAGTATCATAATATGCTGTTTTACGATATCATGAAGATGATACCATATGCATTTTTACGATATCGTTGAGATATCAAACGCCTTTTTACGATATCATCAAGATATCATATGCCATTTCAAAATTTCACTAAGATCTCACATGTTTTTTTGGTGATTTTATTAGGACATTTTTTTAATTTTATTTTATATATATGTTTTTTTGATATCAGAAATGATATCACATGCATTTTGAAGATATCATGAAGATATCACAAGGGATTTTTTGGACGATATCACTAAGATATCATATGCATTTTTACGGAATCATAAATAATAACATGTTTTTTTTTTTAAACGAAATCATCAAAATATCATATGCCATTTTACGATATCCTTAAGAGTTTATATCATGTGCATTTTTACAATATCAGAAAGAAATCACATGCATTTTTAGAATATCATTAAGATATTACATGCATTTTTTTACGATATCATTAAGAATTCACATAGATTTTTAGGATCTCATTGAGATATCACATGCATTTTTGTATATCATAAAGATATCACATGCCTTTTTACGATGTCATTGAGATATCATAATTTGTTATTTTACGATATCCTTAAGATGACATGGTATGCATCATTACGATATCATTAAGATATAATTGATATAATATCATTTTTTGTTTTTTAAACGATATCATCAAAATATCATATGCATTTGTTCGATATTATTAAGAAACCGTAATAGTTTTTTTTTCTATATCATTAAGATGATATCATAGGCCTTTTTACGTCATCATACGATATTATTAAGATATCCTGTATTATTATATACTGTAAATGATATCATGAAGACATCATATGTTTTTTTCTTCATTTCCGATGACATTGAGATATCCTACATTTTTTTGTCGATATCATAAAGATATCACATGCCTTTTTACGATATAATAAAGATTTCATAAATTATTATTTTACGATATTATTAAGATATCATAGGCCTTTTTTACCATGATTCCGATATCATAATATGTTTATTTTACAATATCATGGAGATGATATACCATATATTTTTACGATATCATTAAGATCTTATATATCATTAAGATATCATGCTAGTTTTCTTCAAAGATATCATTAAGACATCCTATATATTTTTTGATGATAATATGCTATTTTACGATATCATTGAGATATCATATGTTTTACGATATCAGTAAGATATCAAAGGCATTTTTTATGATATTTTTAAGATATAATTGTATGCTATTTTACAATATCATTAACATGATATACTGGTATACTATATATTTTTGTTTAAAACGATATCATAGATATCCTGGGCCCTTTTCCCTCCAACATGTTTGGGTCACGCAATGACTGGACATTGCTCGAGGCTACGCAGCCTCGAAGTGCGGATGGAAGCGATGGCACCATCGCCGTTTTTTCCGGAGGGGCATCGACGTGACGAGGAGACGAAGGACGCGCTGGGATGGATGTTCTCCCCGGTGATGTTACTCTGTTGGGCTGGTTGAAACATGTTGAACCTATCCGATCATACTACAGTACAGGTTTGATTGGATGTTTGATGGATTGAGATACTGACCCAACTTGACTTCCAGGATGTGGCAGTGCAGCCCAAAGCGATGAGAGATGTCTCTGCGGGTTCAGGCTGTAGCGCGAGTGCTTCCGTTTGGCGGAGAATGATGACCTAAACCCTGATGTGCTCAGATAGTGGAGGCCAGTTGAGCCCGAGATCAACATTTTTGCCAAGAAAAAACACTAAAAAGACCGCAGGTTTTGGTCATGAAAATGAGTTGCCATTTACTTTGTTTCCCATCCTCCAGCTTCAGCTGTCACGATAACGTGGGGCCCCAAAAGATAAGCACGCTGATTCATAACTGAGCTAGGTCAATGTTTATGTATATCTGCAGCGGGACAGGTGTGAATCAACCAGCCGGAATCATACCATTCTTTCCACCTTGTAGTTGGATCTTGGATTGTGATAACCCCACCTGGGATGTTCAACACATTCAAATCGATAGAAAAAATCTGGCTTCTCGGCCACTTGCCGCCTCAAGATGCCCCGCTTGACAACTCCGCCATGGATCCCGAGCTCCCCGAGCTCCCCACAGAGCAGGCTGCGGATGGATCTCCACCCGGGGACACCGGGGGGCCCGGCGAGAGCCTCGAAGCCGAAGTGGACGGCGTGGACGGCCTCGATGCCCAGGGGGCCCAGGGTCTACCTGCGGCTGCACCAGCTGCACCAGCTGCCATGTTGAGAGCCAAGGCTTTGGCCAAGATGGCCATGGAGGATTTGAGACCTGAAACACCCAGCAGAAGTCTGGCCGCTTCTCATGTACAGAAGTTGAGAGAGGAGTGCCAGGCTGCTCGGAGTCGAATTCAGGCAAATGTTTCCTCAGTGAGCAAAGTTTTTGAGATCACACGGTCCCTGGAGTCCCACATTGTGAATCTTGAAGATTGCAAGCACAGGGTGAAACAAAAGCGAAACTCTCGCTGGTCTGATTTGGCCGTTTGCCAGAAACGGCTGGAAATGTTGGGCAGATTGGATTGGTTTGATGAGAGCAAACCAGAAAAGGCCGGCAGCAAATCTGGCAAGGCCCCGGCCAGCAAATCACCTCATGTTTCTCGGGGCAATTTGGTGGAAGCCTTAGAAATTGAGCAAGAAGCCCTTCTGGTCCTTCGGCGCGAACTGGGCTCTTTGCTTTTGGAGGTGGACCCACTCATGGGGGTCATCGTCGACCTAAGGAAAAGGTTACAGCAGGAAGCCTCTGACAGGCGTGCTGCCATGCGGAAGGACCATGTAACCTTGACTCAACAGGATGGCAGTGAGCGGGAAGATGCAGATGGGAGCAGTCTTCGATCATTTGATGATCGGAACTTTTGGGTCAAGAAAGCCCAGAGTCTGGAAGAGTCTGCGCAGCAGTTGTTGCAGAAAGCCTTCTCGACCATTCAATGGACTGACTTGGAATGTTCCCAGGCCAACCAGTGTGTTTCCCAGTGCTTGGCCCGATGTTCTGCTGAAGATCAGAGGTTGAGACGGCAGCTGGATGCACAGCTGAGGGACGTTGACTTTGCCATTTCTTGTGCGGACTGGACCATTAGCAAACCCGAAAATCGTGTGGAAACAGCATCTTCTCAAGTGCAGAGAGCACATGTTCTTTTACATGAACTCACTGCGACCAAGAAGCATTTGAAATGCCTGGTGAGGAAGTGCAAGAAAGACTTACAGACCTTGGAAAGTTGCAGAAATACAACTCCCCATACCCTGGCGGCCCTGGCATCGACAAACACGAGATGCAGACAGAAGCAGAAGGTGACGTCAGATGAGGAGCCGAAAACCTGTGGATTCGGTGAGACCCACGGATTGACCCCGATGTTCGACCAGATTGATGTGGGAACTGAGTTGCTGGTTGGTGGTTTCAGTATGTTTCAGTCACATTTCAATCATTTTCTCTCAAAACATGATCTACCTGGACCCATTGACCTTTGTATTTTTTGTATTTTAGGATCTCCATCCCTAGTTTCGGGCACTTTCCACCAACCCCCTTGGACTTTTTTCATTCCCTTGTGAGTTTTGATGCTGAAATCCCCGCTTCGTTGCGCTTCGAGTTTCCAGGTTGGAGCTTCAACACCTCCAGGCCGAAGAGCGACGCCTGCGCCGCAGCCTGCGCTGCTACGAGAGGCGCCTGGAACGCTGCGCCGCGGTGAACGAGGCGCTGGCGGAGTTGGAGGAGTCCGTGGCGGAGGCATTGAAGTTGGAGTGACCTGAACACGGCGAGCAGTTGCGGGGAAAAAACGGGTATAAAAACTGTGATTATATTATATGATATATATTGATATATCATTGAGTCTTTTTGAATTTTCTGGGAACTTAGTTTCGAATAATTCTAAGAGTTGAGTTTCAAACATGTGTAGAGTTTAGCCGAGAGATGTTGGAGTTGTTTGAAGATGATAGATTCTGACACAAATTGAAATACATCAGTTTCCCACACTTTGACTGCGGTGGTTTCAATTTTTTGAAGTGATGATATGTATATATATATATGTCAATATGTTTCTTTTTTTTGGAGATTTTTGATGTTATTCTTCAGATGTTCCAGTCCAATGCATGGGCTGATGATCCACAATTGATAAACAGATGGCCTAGTGGGGTTGAAACCACCGACCAGTCTAGGCAATACAAAGTTAATGACGCATAGATAACGTGCATGGGCAACCAGGGACGTACACATCGTTCTCTGGCGCCTTATTCAGGGCCAAATGTCAGCCCAGACTTCACCTTCATCGTCAAGGAAAAAAGGCATATTGCAAGCGTCCGAAGTAGAGGCAGCATGCAGAAGTCTGAGTATTTTCCTGGTAAGCCAACCTGGCAATTGATTCCCCCTTTATATCCATTTAATGTTCATGGATATTCATGGATCTGTTCTCCATTAGACATGGAGATTTTTCAATGCCAGGAACTTGTGGGCTTGCTACCAGTACACTTGGAGCTGGTGCTCATCTAAGAAAACCAGGAACAGGCAGGCTACGGTCCCATGCTGTCATGGCTATGGGTTCAAGCTGGCAATGGGCCACTCCGGTTTTTGGATGGGACATATTTAGAACATCTTTTAGAACTATGTATATATTATAATGTATTATAAATGGATTCACACACGGACCATTTTCTGGTGCCAGATTAGATTCCCCGTAGACTGGTTGTCACTCATGGCTTTACACCTTGGACATGGAAAACTCCCGGAGCATGACGATGCCAGTAACTCAAGTTTTGCTTGACATCAACTTAGTGAAGGTCATATATGTTGGTTAAAGCCTTGATTTTCTATTGACTCATGCAGGTTGGTTGAAACATGTTGAAACCTTCATTTTCTGTTGACTAGATCCTCTTCTCATTGCTAAATTCCACGTCATCTATGTTTCTTACACTTTCTTCTACTGTAGCTGTTGACCCAAATCTACTGTAAACCTATGCAAACACCCATGTTTGCGGCTGAAGTGATCCCCTTCCTTCTGTTCCGCAGGTTTTTTCCCAAGGCACAGTGCTTCGCTTCTGACGGATGATGAAGGGGCAGTTCCCAGGCCCTGACATGAATCACCCAGAAATTTATGATAATTTAATTTCATAGAGATTATTAGAATATCCATAAAAGTGATAGTTATGATGTTTTCATTTATGTTTTTGCCCGCCAAAAAGAGACATCCATAAAAGTTGGCGTTTGCCCCGACGTATTTCACTTTGAGATTCGCGTGGCAGGCTCAGGAGGATCAGCAAGGAAGCGACGGGTAAAGACTGGTTCCTGCGCCAGATGCTCAGTTGGCTTCGCGTCTCGAAGGGACCCAGGTCCATTGACTTTTTGGGTTAGATTTCACGAATTATTATGAAATAGTTATGAATCCGCCAATTATTCCAGCCATTATTTCACCAATTCACCAGGTCACAAGGAATCCCATGGAATACCCAAGGTTGTACCCTCTGGTAAACTAACGTAACTATGGAAAATCACCATTTTTAATGGGTAAATCCACTATAAATGGCCATTTTCAATAGCTATGTTAAATTGCCAGAGGGTATAATTTATCACAAGTCCATGGGATGTTTGTTTCCAGTTGATTGTTCAGTCGCTGAAATATGTGTGTGCTGAAGCCGAGACCGTGGCTTCGTGGTGAACTTCCGGCGGCTCATGGAGACGCGAACTCAGCGGTGCATCAAGGGCCTTGGATTAGAGCCTGTCACCAGTGTGAGAGGCTACTTCTGTATACTTATATATTATTTGTAGCCAGTTAAATCTACGTATCTATCTATCTAATCTAATCTAAAATCTAAAATCTAAAATCTAAAATCTAATCTATCTATCCATCAAGCTAGCTATCCGGCTACTTATCTATCTATCCATCCATCTATCCATCTAAGTATCTATCTACCTACCTATCCATCTATCTATCCATCCATCTATCTATCCATCTACCTATCTATCCATCTATCCATCTATCTACCTATCTGTCTATCTATCCATCTATCTATCCATCTATCCATCTATCTACCTTTCTATCTATCCATCTATCTATCTATCCATCTATCTTTCTATCTATCCATCAATCCATCTATCTATCCATCTATCTTTCTATCTATCCATCAATCCATCTATCTATCCATCCATTTATCCATCCATCCATCCATCCATCTATCTATCCATCTATCCATCTATCTATCTATCTATTCATCCATCTATGCATCTATCCATCCATCTATGCATCTATCTATCTATCCATCCATCTATCGATCTATCTATCTATCTATCTATCTATCTATCCACCTATCTATCCATCAATCCATCCATCCATCTATCTATTCATCTATCTATCTACCTACCTACCTATCTATCTATCTACCTATCTATCTATCTATCCATCTATCTATCCATCTACCTATCTATCCATCTATCCATCTATCTGTCTATCTATCCATCTATCTATCTATCTATCTATCCATCAATCCATCTATCCATCTATCCATCTATCATCCATCAATCCATCTATCTATCCATCCATCTATCTATCTGTCTATCTGTCTATCTATCTATCTATCTATCCATCCATCTATCTATCCATATATCTACATCTATCCATCTACCTATCCATCAATTTATCTGTTTGTCCATCTACCTATCCATCCATGCATCTATCCATCTATGTGGTAGGGGCCGACCCGAGCCAGCATTGTGAGGCTGCAAAAAGTGTTTGCCATCATTCACGAGTTGATCAAGTCAACTGCCATTGCTGCTTGGGCACTTGGATGCTTCCAAAAGCTGAAAGCGAAAGTTGAGGGAAGTCTGGTGAAGTCCTTTCATTGGATCCAACAAAAACTATGATAGTAGCACCCCACAAAAAATTAGAACGGGTTCAATTTGTCACCAAATGTCAGAATTGGATTGGATTTTTCTGGAGAAACACCACTTGCATCTCTTTGGGGTGTTGCTATTCTCTGCCAGATCCCCGATAGTTTTGCATGCCATGAGATCAAAACAGCTGAGGCACTGACTTTGGTCTTGGCGAGCGATGTTTGGCAGCTTGGTTACTCTGCTCGGGGGCCCAGACCGCGAGACGCGCCGAGACGTTGTCTCAGATCAATGGCAACGGGAGGATTGTGGGGTATGATTTCATGGTTGGTTTCTGGGCACTCGAACATATTTAATGGATGTTTAGTCAACCATAGTGGTAATTCATATACTTACTCTTGGTAAAATGGGTGCTGAACGGATCCAGCCCACCTTAAACGGTGATTTAGTTTGCACCAATTGGTAGTTTCATTGGATGGACCAGCAACAAGCTATGGGGATGGGGATGATGGAAACCAAGATGCCATGGGTTTTACATATTTTTACCCTGAAAAGGCTCAGGATTTGTGAGCCGACTGTCAGGTGATGTTCGTGGTGATCCTGTTCATGATATACGGATTTCATGCTGCGCACTATGACACCATGGACATTGGTTGGACCCTCGGTCCCTCAGTCCCTCGGGCCCTGGACAGCATACTGTCAGCTGTTGGGAATCCGTAGCATTTCAAGCTCCTGTCAAAGTGCATTTCTCTTGGCAAGGGTTTAAGCCTGTTTAAGTTATACCCTTTATATACTATTATATTATACCGTATAAATTATACCCCAAGATTTGATTTGGTGAAATTCCCAATGAAGTATGGTCTCGTCATTTTCTGGGTAATCATGTCAAATAACATTTTTTTCAGATTCTATCCCCTTCCTGAATCTGTGTGAATGATGATGCTCAATGATGGTTCCTCCTAGAAAGTGTAACCATGCCAGATTCATCTTACTTTAGCTTGTTCTTGGATCATTTTAGTAATCCGCCAAAAGATAGAAAAATCAAATTCCTACTAAAGTAGTGATACTTTATCCACATATTTTCTTTTCATTGGGATAATTTTCTATCTTTTTTTGGGGGGTACTATATCTCCAACAATCCCAATGAAGTCCCTGCAAAATCACCAAGGCGACTACTGCAATTTGGTGGAGCTTCTGGAAGACGACAATGGCGTTTGTGGTGGGAGGTCAGGGCCTGAAGGGTCTGCAGAGTGTATGCCAAACAGATGGTGTTTTTCAGCATCCTTTTTGCCATTTTGCAGTAGTGGCTGGAGTCCTATGGCCACCGGTTTTAGGAATGTGGACAATCCGAATCGCTTGCTGAAGGCCCGAACCGCAATTCCTGGTCGTTCCGTGGGCAATGTCTTTTGTATTCAGAGAGCAGACAGAAGATTTAGGACGATGGAGCAGGATTGATGTACTGACTTTACGTATCATTAATATAAGCCGGTTTTAATATGTTTCAATGATGATTTCAGGTGGTTTAATACTCTAGATGGTAGAAATCCTGCACCACCAAAAGGATGGTTGAAAGTTGAAGCCCTATATAAATAATGGGAGGTTTACCACCTATGAACTGGTGCAGGATTTCTTCCATCCACAGTCTGCAGTCTGTTCATGCTTCGCTCCAGGCTCTAAGCCTGGCTAGGACCGGGCGTCGCAGAAGGTGGGGCCGCCTGGGATGGACCCAGTGACCCAGGTGTCTGAAAGATGGGATGTATACACCCCAAATGAGTATTTTATTTGGGACATGATTGACATGATTCTTATCTAACTTATCCATGAAACTGTTGGGCTAGCGCTAGCCTATTTTCAAAAAAACCACATCAAGCCGAGATGGAGC